GACCTCACCACCCAGAGAGGACGCCTGCAGACCGAATCAGGTAATTCTCCATCTTCAACGCTGTCTGAGCATAGAGATGAGGTAGTTAAGAAGAAATGAGCTGCTGATGTGAGCAACTAAGGGTACCGGTGATTCACCAGAAGGCTCAGGCTCAGCCTACATCCAAAGTCATGACTAGTTCAAGCTCTGATTCAGAAAGGCCTTGAGGATTTATCCACACAGGAGGTACTGGAATCAGGAGATACTCCAGCATGATTCCAGGGTTTCTGTCTGAGCTCACATCTTTTGTTGTTGCCATTGCTATTTTGTAGCTCAGGGGATCAAACCCAGGGCCTCACACATGCCAAGCAAGTAGCCTTCTTTGAAGTTGTGTCCCCAGCCCTTCAGATCCTTTTGCTTATGTCAGCATGAACTAAATCTTTGAATGAAGCAATGTACAGGCCCATCCCTCAATTGTCTTTGAAGGGTCCTCAAGATGACTCACTGGGCAACACCTCACAGGCCTGGGGTGTTGAATTCCAACTCTAGAACCCACAGAAAGTAGGAGAAGAGAACTCCAAAGAGTTGTCACCTTTCACATGAATACTGTAGCACACACACAGACACACACACACACACACACACACACACGCATCTGTGGAAGCAGGTAGTTTAGATCCTCATTTAGACAGTCAACACTAGGTTTTGTATAATGTCATTTAAATAAGACTTCACTATGAGGAGAGAAAAGGAGTTTACACTGTATTTATTCCTCTGGGTTGCTACGCAAGTATTATTAGAAAACCTAGAGATTTTGCACAGAGTCTGAAAATGTCAGTAGATAATTTAATCATCTGAACTCTCAACCTGGGGTGCTGAGAGCTACATTTATTTCTAAAATGGGTTTCAGAATTTGTTCTTTACCTAGAGAACAGTAGTGCTGTTTCTTCCGTTTGCCAGGTGAATTTTCCCGACAGCTTGATGAGAAGGAAGCACTGGTATCTCAGTTATCAAGGGGGAAGCAAGCCTTTACTCAACAGATTGAGGAGCTAAAGAGGCAGCTTGAAGAGGAAGTAAAGGTGATTATTAATCTAAGGCTGATCACCACAGTTTGTTCCATGAGTGGACCCTGGAAGGAGCCAGTTCCACCAGCTTTAAGGGTACTAAGTATTTAAATATCTAGTACAATGAAGGTGTGACCATCTTCACAGGCCAAGAACGCGCTGGCCCACGCCCTGCAGTCCTCCCGCCATGACTGTGACCTACTTCGGGAACAGTATGAGGAGGAGCAGGAATCTAAGGCTGAGCTGCAGAGGGCACTGTCCAAGGCCAACAGCGAGGTGGCCCAGTGGAGGACCAAATATGAGACGGATGCCATCCAGCGCACAGAGGAGCTGGAGGAGGCCAAGTATGTGCACATTTGGGAAAGAATGTGTAGAAAGCTTTTAGTATTCAAGTCACGTCATTGTAGACTAGCTTCTGTCTAGAATTCTAGACTATCATAATACTCCCCAAATAAAATATCCCTGACCTGCTGACTTAAAATCCAGTTAAGGTAACAAAGAATAATAAATAATTGCTATTTCCAGAGCCCGTTGCTCTTTGCCAAATGCCCCAAGCTCATTGTTGCCTCTGCACTGGCTGTTCCATTTGTACACAACAGTCTCTGTAGGTCTCTCACTAGTTCACTCTGTTTTTTTAACAAGACCTTCCTGAAATAGCTAGAGTTCTCACCCACAGATCACTGCTTCTTATTACCCTTCACGGCATTAATATCTGAAGGGTGTTATTAAGCAATTTCAGACTTGACTGTTGTTGATTTCTCTCACGTGTCTGTGAGCTTCATGAAGTTGGTGACATTTGTCCTGTTCACTGCTGTGTATTAATGATGTCTGGTTCTAAGAGGACCCTAGTGAATCTTGTTGAATGAATGAATAGCATCAATATGATGTTTTCGATCCTCTTCAATGTGGTGATAGTTCATATTTTTAATATGGTTTCTTCTTCCTGAAACTTTATGTAATCTTCAAGGAAGAAGCTGGCTCAGCGCCTGCAGGCGGCTGAGGAGCACGTAGAAGCCGTCAACGCCAAGTGTGCTTCCCTGGAGAAGACGAAGCAGCGGCTGCAGAATGAAGTGGAGGACCTCATGCTGGACGTGGAGAGGACCAACGCGGCCTGCGCTGCCCTAGACAAGAAGCAGAGAAACTTCGACAAGGTGATTCCCGAAGCATCCTCTCTCTGTTTGGTGCACCTTTCTCTGTCATCCACAGCAGCTCACTGCTCTTGGTTTCCCAGATCCTGGCAGAGTGGAAGCAGAAGTATGAGGAAACCCACGCTGAGCTGGAGGCATCCCAGAAGGAGGCCCGCTCTCTGGGCACTGAGCTCTTCAAGATGAAGAACGCCTATGAGGAGTCGCTGGATCAGCTAGAAACCTTGAAGCGAGAGAATAAGAACTTACAGCGTAAGGCCCTTTCTCTCTCAACAGTACTCATGCCTTGGAGGGAACTCTCTTCTGTCACGCCTTGACCACGCCCTTACCTGTTTTTCACCCTATTAACAGAGGAGATTTCTGACCTCACGGAGCAGATTGCAGAAGGAGGAAAGCGCATCCATGAACTGGAGAAAATAAAGAAGCAAGTCGAACAAGAGAAGTGTGAACTTCAGGCCGCGCTAGAGGAAGCAGAGGTACAGGCTGCGCGCATGGTTACCCAACATACCGAGGAAGAATTAAGTCCACCTACAGGGTGCATAAACAGGCACAGCACACAGTCATCTGTGTGTGGCAACACTGCAGCATGCTTGTTCCTTGTTTGCTAGTGTCGCCTCTTGCTGTCCTTAAGGCATCTCTGGAGCACGAGGAGGGAAAGATCCTGCGCATCCAGCTGGAGCTGAACCAAGTCAAGTCTGAGATCGACAGGAAGATTGCTGAGAAGGATGAGGAGATCGACCAGCTGAAGAGAAACCACATTAGAGTCGTGGAGTCCATGCAGAGCACGCTGGACGCTGAGATCAGGAGCAGGAACGATGCCATCAGGATCAAGAAGAAGATGGAGGGAGACCTCAACGAGATGGAAATCCAGCTGAACCACTCGAACCGCATGGCTGCCGAGGCCCTGAGAAACTACAGGAACACACAGGGCATCCTCAAGGTAGGTAACACTAAGAGGTAATGCCAGATGAGTGGTGTGACCTGTCCCAAGGACACAGTGTCTCAATGACTGTTCACTGCACAGGACACTCAGCTGCACCTGGATGATGCTCTCCGGGGCCAGGAGGACCTGAAGGAGCAGCTGGCCATGGTTGAGCGCAGAGCCAACCTGCTGCAGGCTGAGATTGAAGAGCTGCGGGCCACGCTGGAACAGACAGAGAGGAGCAGGAAGATTGCAGAGCAGGAGCTGCTGGATGCCAGTGAGCGTGTGCAGCTCCTCCACACCCAGGTGGGGTTTTGCACAAACACCTCCCTGCAGTAAATACTTAAGCATCTCAGAATATAAGAGCCTGTCCTTTTTAACATAACAGCCAGATTTTAACTTTTGCCAAATTTTACTGTGTTACAGAGTGAGAAATCTCTCACTGTTTTATCTTAGCAATTGTTTTTGATTCTCTTCTAGAGCATTTTATGGGTGACCACACTCTACTGTATCAGTATATCTAGTCATCCTTATTGTCAACATTGACATTTTTTATTGTGAAGAAATGTCATGCTACAAACATCTATTGCAATTTTATTTATGTGAATGGACAGCCTGATTATTAAATGACAATTATAAAATCATAAAGCTATTTCACTTACTTCTAATGCATGCGAAGGTGCTGACTATCCCTCAGAATCTCTAATTTTTCTCTTTATAGTTGTGATATATAACAAAAGTCTTTAATGTTGAAGAGCGCTTCTTTCATTTACAATTATTTATCTTATGATTTTCAAGAAATAACTACCACTAAGTACTCTGATAGCATAAGAAAGTGTAACACTTATTTTTAACCAGAACACCAGCCTCATCAACACCAAGAAGAAGCTGGAGACAGACATTTCCCAAATCCAGGGAGAGATGGAAGACATCGTCCAGGAAGCCCGCAATGCAGAAGAGAAGGCCAAGAAAGCCATCACTGACGTGAGTAGAGTCACATTTCTGCACTCAGTGACCAGTGGGAGCTACTGATTTCAATAGCTTTCTTGGTTTCCTAATAAGGCCGCCATGATGGCGGAGGAGCTGAAGAAGGAGCAGGACACCAGTGCCCACCTGGAGCGGATGAAGAAGAACATGGAGCAGACGGTGAAGGACCTACAGCTGCGTCTGGATGAGGCTGAGCAGCTGGCGCTGAAAGGTGGCAAGAAACAGATCCAGAAACTGGAGGCCAGGGTGGGTATCCCTGTGCTTGTACATTTCCGTATGTTTCCAGTGCCTCATTGGATCAAATTTCTTCAGAGTCTTCCTTTTTGTAGGTGCGTGAACTGGAAGGTGAGGTGGAGAGTGAGCAGAAGCGGAATGTTGAGGCCGTCAAAGGTCTGCGCAAACACGAGAGGCGAGTGAAGGAGCTTACTTACCAGGTAGGCAGTGGTCCTTAGCAGCTAAGTGCCCTCCAGATGTGTGCGAGACACTCACAGTGATAGCACGCCCTATGGTTCTTATAATCTTGCAGACAGAAGAAGACCGAAAAAATATTCTCAGGCTTCAGGATTTGGTGGATAAACTCCAGGCAAAAGTGAAATCTTACAAGAGACAAGCTGAAGAGGCTGTGAGTATCTTTAGAATAGAGATTAGTGAAGTCCTTGGATTGGGAAAAGCTACTAAATAATTCACTGTACTACCTCATTTAGTAAAGAAGATGTTTATCCTACAGATTCTGTACATCAGTACTTTACACATCTCTGTGATTCTTACATATTGTTTCTAGTACTGATTTTAAGGAAAACCCGAGCTTACAAAGGAACCTCAAAAAAAAAAAAATAAAAGCAGAAATTATTCAGGCTGTTCTCCCAGGCTATGGTGGGACAAAGTGATACAGAGATGAGATACATAAGCAGAAATCCCCAGACACCTAGCTGTTAACAAGCAAACTTAAAAATAACTCTTGGGTACTGGAGAGATGGCTCAGCGGTTAAGAATGCTGGCTACTCTTCCAGGGGACCTGAGTTCAATTCCCAGCATCTACAACCAGGAAATCTGACACTCTCTTTTGCCCTCCATACCAGAAAAACAAGTGGTCTGCAGACATACATCCAGATAAAATATCTACACATATAAAATATAAAATAAAAAGTAAATATAACTCAGGATAAAATACATACTGGAAAAGAATGACTACTAGATCATCATTTAGTATAAACAATATTAAAAGGAAGATGTGACTTTTACAAATATATGGAATGCAGCCAAAATTGTTTAGAGGGTTAATAACGCCTTATAAAGCAATGGGTTTATAGCCTTTTAGCATGAGTCAAAATTAAAAATAAATGAATACATTTATATCTAATCTAGAAATTAATACCAATAACCCAATGAAGCAGGAAATGAATCGATTAGAGTATATTACTTTGTAACATGACATTGTAGTAATACCTGATGACTTCTGGGGAATTAATGGAGCAAATACATTTATAGTTAGTTTAATGAAGAAACTAAAGACAATACAAATAGCACCACAGGAGTATAAAGGGAGAAATGACTTGCACATAGAGCAGTGTTTTTAGTGTCATGTGTAAAACAGTTCAAAGAGCTGAGGAAGCAAAGAAACATTTTTCCCCCCAAACTGGGCTAAAAAGTTACTTGAGGATTACTGTTGCAAAGGACCCAGGTCCAGATAGGTCTGTCAAAATTTCAAGGAACAGATAATCCCCAGCTATGTAAGCAGTTCAAGAGCATGGGAAAGAGGCAAAGCTTTCCAATTCACATTACAAAGCTCGCATAGCCCTCATACCAAAACCCGTCCAAGGGAGGACAGGGGAAAGAAGTGACAGCAGCCTTATCCCTGACTGCAGTCACAGCGGGGACACATGACTAAAGGGAAAACCTGTACTTATCTGAAGGACTTGTCTATCAGTGAGTAAATAGGCTTGAACCCCACAATGTAAAGATGCCTGATTGGAGAATCTGTCAAAACAATTGTTATTATCAAAAGCAGAGGAAATAATCATTTTGTGTCAAAATAGTCTGTGGTTAAATTCGATGGGCATTTTCATGTTTTAAAATGATCATGAAATCTTGCTTACTATGATGAGGAATAACTAATTTAACTGTCATCACCTAAGAGCAAGCATTAACCACCTGACCCTTTTTTAATATTCTTGATCCTCTGATCTTTTTTCTTCTTTGTTTTATTCCTGGCATATATCCATTCAGATAATTTGGCCGTTGGGGATGGAGAGATGGTTCAGCCATTAAGAGTACTTGTGGCTCTTCCAGAGGATCTGAGTTTGGTTCCCAGCACCCATTCTAACAACAGCTAACAACAACATTCAACTGTAGCTTCAGGAAGTCCAGCACCCTCTTCTGTTCATCAAGAGGCTCTGCATATACACATGAATACATACATACATACATACATACATACATACATACATACACAGACATACACACCCAAATAAGATTCTTACAAAAAGATATTTTGTTTGCAAAATTTGTGATTTGATAATTTTGAGACACCAATCTCTAATCACAAAACAGTTTCAGTGGTAAGCAAGAATCTTGGAAAGGATCAGATTTTATGTCTATAGACATACCAAGCTCTGTTTCTGCCAGTCTACAGAGCTTAGAAAGATTACAGCATGGGTTAAATATAATTTCATCTTTATTCTCAGGAGGAACAATCCAACACAAATCTATCCAAATTCCGCAAGATCCAGCACGAGCTGGAGGAAGCTGAGGAGCGGGCTGACATCGCTGAGTCGCAGGTCAACAAGCTGCGGGTGAAGAGCCGGGAGGTTCACACCAAAATCATAAGTGAAGAGTAAGGCAGCCCTGATGCTGTGGAATGACTGAAGAGAGGCACAAAATGTGAAGCCTTTGGTCATGCCCCTGTGTAATTCTATTCCATCCTGTTGTAAGGAAATAAAGAGCCCAAGTTCTTTTGCAAGCAATATCCTTGGGCTGGCCCTGTCTTTTGTCACCTTCCTAAAGCAGTGTCAAAGTTTGAGACATCTTCAATGATAATCACATCCCACCTGCAACTCAGAAACACACACATCTTCACAAGCATCTTTGGTTTATTGGAATAGTTTAAGTTGATAAAGGTGTCACTTACCAAGACAGCCTGTTCTGATGAACATAACTCTGGAAGTCATTTCTATTTATTCCTAGTTGTTCCTGGTATCATCATATTGTCAAATCCCAGGAAGCTTCTACCTCCCATAACATAAACCTGAATTTTTAGGTCTAGACAAAGAATAGTTCTAAGTATATTTCTACAGAGATAATTCATATTAACTGTGTCATTAATTTCCCACATTTAATAACTGCATAAAGAAAACAAGCACCAAGTATTCTTCATTAGTTTATGAAAGCTCTTTTTAATACTAATTTTAATACCATGAATTTACTCATAGTATACACGATGGCTAATCTGCATCATCAATTGGAAATAATGCTTCTTTTAATGAAAGCTGTAGGATGCCTATCAAATCTGAACACATAGAAAAGACTATTTTATATGTTATAATTTGGTATAATAAGTTATGCACCTACTTTTCACATTTTTTTAGCCTCCTGTATAATTGTATGAATAGAGTCAATGACTAAGAGACCAGACCAAGAATCTCAAAGCAGGTTACATATATATATGCATATGCACTTATATATGTTTATAAATACAATATGAAGATACCAGAAACAACTATATATAAAGATGTGGTAGCTATCTAAATTATTGAGACATTTTACTAGAAGATGAACATTTTAGAACTGGAGACACCTTTGATGCATAGTCAAAACCAGTCTTCCTCGACAGTACCTGGTAAAAGCTAACTTCCCAAATGAGCCAAAGAAAATTGTCTTAGTTTAAGGTTTTGGCTTAAGTGGCAACTCTGAGACTGATTTCAATCAAGCCATGTGGAGACAACTTCCCAGGTAAGCTGGTTTGCACTGGTCTCGGGGAAGAGCACAAGATTTCTCTTCTCACTGTAGTGGCTCTTCTTTCATCCCCCCACCCCCCCACACACATACCACCCGTCAATGCTTAAGTATCTTATAACTTGGTAGTAACAAGAACAACAAACCAAAGCCTTGCTTTTTCCTCTCTAAAAAGTCTCCTCCAACCCCCAGTAGAACCATAGTCCATCTTAAAATTTCCATCAAATCCTATTCAGAGAATTATGAAAACATTTGCTCTGAGAACTGTTAGTCCCAATAGAGAAACAGATACCTAAGAAGCAAAGTGATGTACCTGAGGGAGCAGAGCAGCTAATAGTTGCCTAGGAAAGCTCCTGGTGGTTGCAAAGTTCTTCAATACCCTTCCTGATGCCTTTAATCCGCTTTAGATAGAGCGTCACCATCTAGAGTGCTAGGCTACAGATCAATTAGCCCAGAGTCTAAACCACTGTGTGGCTCTCCTCTAAGAGGAGATTCTCCTCTCTTCTTTGAGCTTGGTTGCTTTGTTAGAAGGATGAGGAATGTGGATCATAGAGTCGCTCGCAGTAATGAAATCATATGACCATCACCATCCACATCTCTAGATACTTAGTTTCACACATGGCAACTTGCAAAACAAGACCCTGGGGGCTCAGTCTCAGTCATGCAGCGTTTGCTATGAGAGAAGATTCAAGGCCATTCAGACAGCAAAGCAAACACAAGCTAAAGTAGGAAACAATGTTCAGGTGTTATTTGTAAGTGAAAATTTAAATATATACCACCGTGGCTGTTGGAGAAGTCATATTCACTGGCACTTGTAGACAGAAATCCCATTTTTAATATTTCCTCACATCCATTTTTGTAGCGGAAATGGGGTTTCACAAGTAACTTGAGGTTGTTTGTTTGTTTGTTCATTTGTTTTTAATGAGAGAATGTGCGTGTGGCTAGGGAACGGCTTGAGGGTAGGTCAGAGGTGGGAAGGGGATGATTTGACAGTGAGTCAGAGGTGACAGACTGGAGGAAACAAAAGCAGCTGTCTTTCTTTGGCTGTTCTTCATCAACCAGATTATAAAATTAAGCTTTGAAGCATCCTTCCAAAGGGACAATGAATTGTAAAAAAAAAAAAAAAATCCCATCTTCTTGGGAGGAAGCAACTGTTGTTGCAGCGACACTGAGAAGCAGAAAGTTTCCTTGGTTTAATATTGCAATTGTGTGGCAGCTGAAGAGCCTTCCCAGAGGGCACTCGGTGAAACAGAAGAACTCCAGGCAACAAAGTGCACGGATTCCAGAACTCAGCAGTCTTTGAAACAACACCTTACATTATTCCAAGGACGGATCGTTTTCCTATCACCAACAACTCAAATTATTTATAGGAGATTGATTCATATACTTAACCCAATGTGAGAGGGAATATTTCTAATTATATCCAAACATCCTTAATATGAAGGGAATTAGGCTTGGAGACCTTCCTTGCCAAAAACACATTTTGCCAAATATGTTTTAAGAAAGAGGAGGAGGTTACGTGTTTTCCATATTTGATCCTATAAAAGTACCCCTTGGAATGAGAATGACTTGTCTTTCCTCATAAAGCTTCAAGGTAAGAGTGTGTGAGGACAGGGCTCTGTGTGGACGGGAAGGGATGCCTGGCTGCTGGTGTGCATGCCACACATCCTGGCTCCTGCTGGCCCTGGCAGTCCTTCCAGTGAAGCACTAAGTTACTCTGTAGCAATTGTAATTAGATGTTGTGGTCTTCCCAGTCATTTCCTGGTTCCCTCAGATAAGAACTGTGCTCTTATTGGGAGTCACTAGCTTTTAATCAGAAAGCATTTGCTTTTATTTTTTTCAATTACAGTTCAGACCCACGGTCGAAGTTGTATCCCTAAAGGTAAGGTCTTCCTCTCCCTCCCCGCCTTTTTTTTTTTTCATTCTGAGTGCAAGTAATCTTCTTTAGTATTTGCAAAGTGTCTGTTGGGGTTGAAAAATGAAAAGCATTTCAATGTCATGGCTGATCATGCTTGTGCTGAAAAACTCGGAGGGGGCTCAGGAAACTGGGTCTCATTAACACAGCTCCTTTGCAGCATATGTGATGCTGTCTCAGAGTCTTGGGAATTTTGTGCATGGGGTTTTCTATATCTAGCTTTGTAGTTTGTCTTTTAAGTGACTGCAACATCCAATGAGACAGGGTTTGCTCGTTTAAAAAGAAAACCATAAGCATTCTATGCTACAGCTTTTAGCACTAATTAATAAGACAGCGAGATGATATCTAAACGGACAGATGGAATGGATCAACCCTGGACTTACCAAAGTACAAATCTGCATGTTGTCTCATAGTCTGTCAAATAAAAATGTAAATGGTGAGAAAGTGGTTTCAGCAAGACGAAGTATTTTAATTTTGATGCCAGCTATTACAATTTGAATGGAGAAACAGGGAAAAAAAATTTCCAATGGAGCTTTCCTCGAAAAGGGTATCTTTTAAAATTATAATATGGATTATATAGGATGACTGTCCATCGAGCTTATGGATGGTAAAAGGTTTAATTTTAAAGGAAAAAGTTGAAGGCAATATTTAAAATAATATGAATAAAAGAACATGAAAATATAATGAAGTTTGTCAAAATTCAGATAGAGGGATAAGAAACTGTCATTTTAACAAAATAATGCCAAACCAAGTTCTTCACAGTTCTGCTTTCTATTCTAGTGCACAATCTTTATAACTGCTAAGTCTAGGGTTGGGGAATCCCAAACTCTCCACATGCAAGAGAGATTCTAAAACTTTAGCTACAGTAGCCTGATTGTTCTTTTTAAGAGGCAGCCAGCTCCGAACCCTTTTCTGTATCCAGCATGTGTCCTCAGAGGTGTGAAGGCTGCCAGAAAGAGAAGGACTCCCTGCTGCAAGGTGCAGGAAATCCAATGGGGAAGAAAGAAAGTATAAAGAGCCAGAGAACATCTTAGCATCCTCTGCGCTTTTTATTTTATAGGAGCCAATGGTAGGCAGCTTCTAAAGGTTAATACACACAACAAATGAGGTGCGGGAGGCAGTAGACTTCTCTCACAGTAGGCGAGCCACAAACAACTACTTTCCAAATGCATGATTAAGTACCTGTCAGCACTGGCAAGGAACAAGGAGTCTGACATTTCAGCCACACCACAGCCAGGGAGGTTGGTAGGCCCAGTGCAATGCATTCACACAACTGTCAGGGATTGAAAAAAAATGCATGTGATTCTAATAGTCACTTTCTGAATTTCTACCATTTCTCCCTCTACAAGACAGGCTCTCCCACTGGGCTGCAACCAATAGCCCGCAGCCATGAGTTCCGACGCCGAGATGGCCGTTTTCGGGGAGGCTGCTCCTTACCTCCGGAAGTCTGAAAAGGAGCGAATTGAGGCTCAGAATAAGCCTTTTGACGCCAAGTCATCCGTGTTCGTGGTGGATGCTAAGGAGTCTTTTGTAAAAGCAACGGTGCAGAGCAGGGAAGGGGGGAAGGTGACGGCCAAGACCGAAGGCGGAGCTGTGAGTAAAACATCTGGAGCTGCTGACACTACACCACTGGGCTAGTTTGACTGACACTTAGTTTCTAACTTAATATCTCTTGTTTATGGACAGACTGTAACAGTAAAAGATGATCAAGTTTTTCCCATGAACCCTCCCAAGTACGATAAGATCGAGGACATGGCCATGATGACCCACCTCCACGAGCCCGCTGTGCTGTACAACCTCAAAGAGCGTTATGCAGCCTGGATGATCTACGTGAGTTCGCTATCCTGGTTTTTTGATCAAGAGAGTAGTTAATAAGTTTTTTTTTCCTTTAAAAAAGTAGATAATGAATATCTTACCCAATAATTGTGTCCCCGTTTTTGATGCAGACCTACTCAGGCCTGTTCTGCGTCACTGTCAACCCCTACAAGTGGCTGCCAGTGTACAACGCAGAGGTGGTGGCAGCCTATCGAGGCAAAAAGCGCCAGGAAGCCCCGCCCCACATCTTCTCCATCTCTGACAACGCCTACCAATTCATGC